TCTAAGAAAGTGGAAAAGTCTAAATATAATGCAAAACTGTTTAAAACATCACAATATACCAGGAAGTTACCCAGGAAAAAATTTCATACAGCGTTTTTGCGAAATTGAAAATTTAGGTGCGGCTAAAAAAAATAAATAAAAAATAAGTCCTTACATTTTGCAATTAAATTTTAATCAAATAAAACTTTTTTTTTGCTGGGAGTTACATTTACAGCAGGATTATTTTTCTACTTTATATATGTTTAATTTTAATTAATCAACTTGTTTCATTATGAGCAATCTTCTAAAGTTTTCATTTAAATTGCTTCTTTTCTGTGTTTTACAGGGTGTTACCATCAGGCTGGGTAAAACCCTGTATACAGCCCAAAATAAAATATATTATGTTTTTTTATAATAACAAGAAGACTTTTGTTTTATAAAATAAAAATTATTTATATTTGCAGATACAGAGTTTCTTCCAGGGTTGCTGCTGCTTTAACTACAGATTCATAAATTTATACTGAACTAATTTCTGAAGAAAATACTCAATTTATTATTGATCACTAAAAAATAGCAAAAGCTTAAACTAAAGTCGTCATTGAGTTAAAAAATGAGACTTTAAAATCTATACACAATGGGAACATTAATTATTTTTATTTTAATAGAAGAAAAGGCATTACAAAAGTTAAGATAGATTTAGAATTAAGGTTTTTTCTAGTTGATTAGATTAATTAAAGAAGAACATTACACTGTATGCATGAAATTAGGTGATAAGTTTTTGCTTCACTTACCCCAAAAAAAAAAATTAACCAAAAGAGAAAAACAGGCCAAATTAAGTTGCTAACATTTTAATCAAATGAATGTTTCAACATAATGTTGACAATAATACAACATAGTCAGTGACAAACTAATTTTATTTTGGGGTGCAATACTTTTACGGAGACATGGGGGAGGAGGTTGACCTTGGGGTAGCCTTCCCCTTTTTCAATTAAAAAGCCTTTCTGTATTTTAGTTACGTTAAGATAAACTACTCTATCTAATATTCTTATAAACTTTGAAGTTGGAAATATTCGTAAATTATTTGAAAATATATATTCAAAAGTATTTAAAGTATTTTAAACATTTTTTTAAGCAAACATTTTATTTTAAGAACTGTATTCTAGTGATTTTAACTTTAGTTATTATTAAATGTGTAAAATACTTTAAACAATTACAAATCAATATTTAGAAATAGCGTAGTATTTGCAAAATAAAAATAGTAATTATGCTAATTAAATGCTTACGCCTTGTAGTATTTTAAAGGTGTACTATTTTTTTTTTTTTTCAAACATCTTCGCTTCCAACAAGGCTGCAAGCAACCACTAATTAGTGTTGGAAGTTACTGGAAGAGAAAAGATGAAGATTGTAGGGCAATATAACGATTGACAGACGACTTAAAAGATTGCAAATTATATGAATCAGGAAAGCAAGATGAAGGAACCGAATTCCAAAGAACTGATGTTCAAGAAAAAAAAACTAGACGAATAAGAGTTTTTGGAGCACTTAGGAACAGTAACAGAAAAAGGATGAGACTTAATTGAATGACGAGTAACACGAGAGTGAATTTTAGTAGATGGCACAAGAGACGCTAGTTCTTTAGAACAGTGCCCATTATAGTAATAGTAGAAAAGAGAAAGAGAAGCAACATTACGACAATGTGATAATGGTTGAAGGTTGGTTGCAAGAGCAGGTCCAGCTATGTTTACAATGCGTTTATGCACCTTGTCTAAAAGAGAAAGGGCATTATTAGAAGATCTGCCCCAGATATGGCAACAGTATTCCATACAAGGTCGAATTTAAGATTTATAGAGATAGAGAATAGAATCCAGAGTAAGAAAGTATCGAGCTCGATAAAGAGATGTAACTTTAGCAGATGCTAATTTTACAACGGATTTGATGTATGGTTTCCAAGAAAGATCAGAAGTAAGAGTTAATCCTAGAAGATGAAGGGTAGATGACTCATCAAGTACATTACAGTTCATAAATATAGGAAGGTCTAAATTATTGCGATAACAATTGGCTTAAAAAAATCGAGTTTTATCTGAATTAAAGTTTACCAGACACTGTGAGCCCCATGCTGTAGCAGAAGTGAGATCCTTTTCAAGCTCAGATGCCCCCTGCAAGCAATCAGAGAGAGTTGGCTTCTTATCATGACAAGAATAAATGGTAGTATCATCAGCGAACAATCCCACCTTAGATGTGAGAATATCTGGAAGATTGTTAATGTAAATTAAAAAATGTATAGGGCCAAGGATTGAACCTTGAGGAACCCCTAAGGTTACAGAATAAGAAGTAGAGTGCTGTCCATCATGGACAACTTTTATACTATAATTGGAAAGGAAGGATTCAATAGTCTTAAGGATGTTTCCAGATACACTGTAAGTTGATAGCTTATGGAGAAGACCAGCATGCCAAACTTTATCAAAGGCTTTAGAAATGTCAAGAGCGATGGCCTTAACCTCTTTACCTTTATCTAATGCACGATAAAACCTATCGGTTATTACTGTTAGCAAATCAGCCCTAGAACGAGAAGATCGAAATCCATGTAGATGATCAGAAAGTAAGTTATTAGATTCAAAATGAGAGATTAAGTGTTTATTGATTAAAGATTCAAAAACCTTGCTTATGATAGGAAGAAGACTAATAGGACGGTAGTTAGACAAATCAGATCGCTCTCCAGAATTTTTAAAAATAGGGATAACAGATGCTGTTTTCCAGCAGGCTGGAAAAAAAAGACTCTGATAACATAGATCATCCAAGTCATATTTTGAAAATCTGGAAAATTGTTAAATAAAATATCTGGAAAAAATCTGGAATTTGTTTTCCTTATTTTCTTTTTAATTTTGTATTTAGATAAGTTCTTTTTAATTTTTTTTGACTTTTTTCATTATTTTTTTATGATTGATGAGTGAAAAAGCTTAAAAAACAAATATATTACAAAAATATAAACCTCAACTTGCATGTATTGAAAATGTTTTGGATATCCAGAAAAAATAAAAATTAAAAAAAATATCGGAAATTCCGGAAATATCTGGAAAAAGATAATCCCTGTGATAAGCACTTGTTGAATAGTTTTGAAAGGATAGACAACAGCTCCGGAGAATACTTCTGCAAGACTATAACAGGTATGTTGTCTGGGCCACAAGCTGTACAAGAGTCTAAGCAGGAAATCACTTTAGATACAGAAGCTGGAGTGATACAAATGTCAAGCAATGGATCAACCTGTTTGACAGCTATATCAGGTAGAACGCAACTAGTGTAATCAAGAGATGATATTAATGAAAAATTCTTAGCAAACAATTCAGCTTTGTCTTTAGGTGATTGGCTATTACACTTTTAAAATACAACAAGGTGTAAAGATACTATTCTTTTAAAATGAGTATTTTAAAAGTGTACTATCTTTTGAAAAAGCACTTTTCAAAAGATAGTACACCTTTAAAAGTGTACTATCTTTTGAAAACAAATTCAAACATGCTATTTATTAATTAATAATTACTAAAAAAAATTCAAACATGCTATTGTCTTTAAATTGAGCTTTATAATAAGTTTTAATTCATTTATTTAAAAATCTAACGGTTGTTTAATAACAACAACAACAACAAAAATATAAAGCCTATGTTTAACTATTGAATTTACTATTGGTGTTTATTATCCTTGTTAGTTTTAAATGAATTTAAAGCACTTTTAGTTGGATGAACCTTAGCATTTAATTTCAATTGAAACAACTAAAAAAAAAAACAGAAATTGTTAAGATTGTAAAGAAACTGTTTAGAGATCAGTGTGGTTTGCATTTAGTAAATGCATTTTTTAGAAAAAAAGAGAGATTTCACTTAAGTATAAAACATTAGTAGAAGTTTTATGAACCAAAACAATGCTAAATGTAACCTAGCAGGACTCACAAATTTTAAATAAAACTTAGTAACTGTTTTATGCTAACTATATATACATTTTAATAAAACATGTAAGTTGTTGTTTGCTTGTTTCATGTTCTAGTCATTTATAAATAAGAACATAAAAAAAAAAAAAAATTGAACAAATTATTGAGATAAAAAGTGTGATAAGTAAAATAATTGAGAAAAATGTAAAACAAAATTAAAAAAATAACTTTTTACAGAAACTCACTTTATATAGACATTTTGATAGGTTTTTCAATAAAAAACAAACTTTAAAGAAACTCACTTTATATAGACATTTTGATAGGTTTTTCAATTAAAAAATGTTCATAAAATTCATCATAACAAATATTGAGTTTTTTATTTAACCTGAAAGTTTTATGTTAAATAAAAATCAAATACAAAAGTTTTAAGCTCTTAGTAGAATTAAATTCTTTTTAAAGAGCAAACTTTTTGATTTTAGGTTGAATAAAAAAATTGTTTTTTTTTAACATTTTACATTTAAAAAAGTTTATGACTAAATGTTATATTATTGCTTTATTTTTAAAGTTTATAGTTAAACAAAATAAAAATTTTTAGTTTTAAATATTATATTTTAATATTATAATATTAAATTATAAGATTTAAAAACATGTTAAAACCAAAAGTTGATACAATAGCATTGAATCCACATTAAAACTTTTTTTAATTTAATTTAAAGTTGTAAAACTGAAAAAAGACTATTTCCAGGCTAAAAAAAAGTGGTCTGCAGCCAAAACATTTGAAAATTAAAAATAATTCAATCAAGATTTTGGCTAAAAAGAAATTGCTTCTCAAATGCTTTATTTTTGGCATATTTTTGAATACTATTATCATAGTAATTTTTAAATATTCAAAACAATTAGCTAAATATTTGTAAGACACTAAAATAAAGCAGTTTTGAAAAAAAGATAACTTTTTAAATAATCATAACTTTAGAATATACACAGATATTGAGTTGAAACTTTTAGATAACCGTTTTTTCTAGAAATAAATACATGTAGGAGGTATAAATTTCAAGAAAATCTGAATTAGTAAGTTCAAAATAAGAAAATCTAAAAGAAAACGTACCTGATTGGTATTTTGGTGGTCATCTTGAAAGGTTGAAATGTTTGTTACAGTTTCATCAGAACATAGAACAGCAACCTTTTGAAATTTGTAGTTAAAAATTAAAACAAGAAGAAATAAAACATAAGTTGAAAATTATTATTTACTAAAACCATTAATAATAAATAATACTTTAAATTAAATCAATAGTTTTAACCACACTTGACACCATTCCTGGCTAACACCCTGATTATATATTCAACAACACCCTGATTATATATTCACTCATCATATGCTAAAATTTGATTAAAATGATTCTTCACTGTTAAAAAAAAAGGGGTTTTGCAAAATATGCCTAGTTAAAAATCAATAAACTAATACGCTTTAACGTTCATAATAAAATGATAGCAACAGCTCCACTAAGGTATAACATCTATACAACAACTATTTCTTATTTATGAGAGCATAAAACTATGTGTCTATTAAAATTAAGCCTCAAAAACTTAACTAAGAAAAATTATAAATTACTTGATTTTATATAAAATATTTTTGATAAAAAACTTTTTTAAAAATGGAAATTTTTTAATTAAACAGTTAAATTTGCAAATTATAAAAAAAAACCTAAAATAAATATTCATATTAGAAACTTTTCTTATTTGTTTTTTTTATTTTAATCAATTTTTGAACCTAGAGTCCTTTTGTATAGTATAAAGAACTCCGGGCTAAAAAGGAATAGATTTTAGATTTTAAACGGCATAACTTTTTTTCATCGCAGATCTTAAGTTACTCAACATTTTTAAAGCTCCTGTACATCAAAGACCAGATAACCACTATCGCATTGGTAGGTTTACAGTTATTATAAGGATTATCAGTTGCAAGATATATAGTGGAAAGAAATTAACTATGATTCAGGTAATATTAGATTATTTATCTCATCTTAAAGAGTGAGATTGTCATTGGAATTATTTAAAGAGTCTTCTCCTCATCCCAGTTAAAGGTATATTCATAAATAAATAAAAAAAAATGAAATAAGAATAATAAAAGTTAGAATTTAAAAATCATTGAATACAGAAAAAAAGGATTCAATTCTTGTTGAATTAGAAGCCATGCAAGAATGAGTTTTGGTTTATTGTAATAGAGATAATAGCTCAAATGAACATTGACCATGATTAGACAAATAGCACCAAAAAGGAAGGCTAATAATGCCTAATAATGTCATCATAATAATGCCTAACAATGTCATAAAGAAAGCCTAATAATGTCATCATCAGCAGCAGATGATAATGACGATAATGATGATTATGATGATAATGATGATGGCTATGATGATGATGATGATAATAATAATAATGATGACGATAATGATGGTGATGATAATGATCATAATGATGATGATCATGTTGATCATAATGATGTTTATAAACGCATATATTGAAAATCGAACATAAATTTTGAAGAAAAAAAATGTACTTTAGGATGTATAAATGTTTATTCAGCCCCGGCCCCGGCTATATTTTATCAAAGCCGGCCCCGGTCAAATATCAACCTCGGTTGATATTTGACCAGGGCCGGTCAAATAAAACTAGTTTATTGACTTGGAATTGGTCAAAAACTGGTTTAATGACTTGGAATCTATTGTTTTTTAGCCCAGAGTCATTAAGTTTTTGTTGCCATTATAAATTAGGACTCCAGATTTAAAAATTGAAATTATTATTTATATTAGGGTTTTTTCAAGCTCAGGAAATAGTAATTAACTTTCTTTTTTTGTGATAATAAATTTTTAGTTTTTTGAACAAATTATATTTTGGTGCAAATTAATTGCTTCTGTTATCATAAAAAGCAAAAAAGCTACAGAAAACTCTTGATGGATCGATGGATCTACTCTTTGTTTAACTACAAAGAGAATTTCCCTTAAAGTCACATTTGGCAAAATAGAAAAAAAAAGATAGCTGTTTCCTATGTAAAAGTTTACAAAATAAGTTTTATATAAAGGCTAATATTTTTGATAGACTTTCTGAATTAGAAGGTTACTTTATATGTGTTTCAAATACATCAAAATTTGCTGGAGGTTCATATTTTAAAGTTAGTCATCAATGCCTTTGATTGTCTAAAGAATAATTATTCAGATGAGTTCTTAAATAGTGAAGTGTTAACTATTGTTGAAGATATTCCTGTTGAAATTTTTTAAACTAGTTAGATGTCAGTTTTTATGTTGCTTTTAGGTTTTCACGTGGGAATATGCTCTAAGAAAAAACTTATTCTGAAAAACTAAAGACTAAAAAAAAACTTTTTCATGATGTGAAGGAATAGATAGATTAAATTTAAGGACAAAACATACAGTTAATATTTTGAAAAATTAATCAAATTATCCAAATAAGCTGCATCAATTTTCTAATATTACACATTGATCTGGATACTTAAATTGAGCAACTGCTTCCTTTATCTGAACTTTATTTGTTAATTAGCTATACTATAAGTTACTAATAATATTAGTAACTTATAGTTACTAATAATATTAGTAACTTATAGTATTGCATTATTTACAGCTATAAGTAATAGATGTAAATTGTATCTATATAAAAATATATATATATTATTTTTTTTAACTAATCTCAAAAATGTATACAGCATATTTTTATTTATTTGAGAACTTGCACCGAACAGGCTATTATTTTTTATGTTTATTATGTAATTATTTATGTTTATAAATATATTAGTAATATATATATAAATATATTATAAATATATTAGTAATATATATTAATCAATTTACTAAATGAATGTTACACAAATTAAAAATAACTTCATAATTAACTATAATTTTTACTTTGTATGATGGAGGAAACAAATCGTATATAATTCTACAGTATTCGACGATACCCTCAACAACACAAGTCCATGTTGATTTTTGAAGATTTGTGAAATAATACTGTGAGGTCTTAGCGTTTGATTCTAATTCTAATTTAGAACCTGACAACTCTAAGAAATGAGAACCGTGGTCTATAACAATGCAGCATTCTTTACAAACAAGATTTTTAAAGTTAGCCATAGATTGCTATTAATTTAATTTTTAAGCTTAGTAGTTTTGGGGTTAATTTTAAACTTTAAGTATCTAAAAACTTATTGGGCGGACCTTATTTTGTATACGGACACAACTGGCGGCGGTATGTAGTCGGAGAAGAAAAATTACACTCATACCGTCAACCGGGGTAACTCCGGACGATTTTAGATATAAAATGTTTGACTGTTTCTTTAAAAGCAATTCAAAATGCTTCATTTTATGTTAATCGAACACTCTAATAATGATGAACATAAAGACATACTGGTTTTAATCTCTTCTATTGATCATTACCTTGAATAAACGGTTTAAAAATCAAAAAATCAAATTTGGAAAAATGGGTAACTCCGAACGCTTAATGATAGGATTTTAAAAATTGAATTTCTAACTTCAATGAGTTCAGCATTATCTTAGTGACATGTAGCTTAGTAGCATGTATCTTTCTATGGCAAAAAGCTGTTTCATTTAAAGTGAACAGTCCTATTTTATATAACAGAACAAAAACAAAATTATTGATAAACTAACTATTTCAAATATACTTATATATAATAAATAATAATTAATACATTTTATTATGATTATACATTTAAATTACTCATCACTGTATAGTGAATAATACAAAAGTCATTTTGCCTTTAAAAAAATACAAGGCAAATTATTGTTTTTGGCATACATTGCACTCAATTGACATAGCATCTTCCAAACACTTCGAATGATACCAACGAAAGCAACGTTCACAGCCAGTCCAATCAACTGAAACTTCCTCTTCTTCTTCAATGATTTCACCGATTTCTTTTTTGTCTTCTTTTCCGCAGATGAAACAAATATCAGTGTTACTATCTGCAACAACATTTAAAACTGCCCCAGATGCAATGTTTAACTTATTAACTCTGGGTTTTTTTGTTTTATATGCGCCACAATTAGACATTAAAAAAGTTGTTACTGAATCGTTTAAAATAGTTTTTGTCGATGTGTCTGGAACTCTGGCATCTTTTTTAAAATGATCATACAATTTATTGGATATATTCCACATGTATGAAATCCAGAAACTAAATTTTGACATATAGTGTTTTGCAACTTAAAAAATAAAAAAATTCTCAAGAGACCTGGAAAATGTTCTTTAGGAAAACATCCAAACTTTCTGCTTTGTTTCTTCTATTCAGTTAATACTTGCCTACAACAACGCTTCATAGGACCATAGACTGATACATCTAATGGCTGCATTATATGTGTGGCTATTGGTGGCAACATAACAAAGTAAATATTTTGTTCTATGGCTAGTTTTATAACGTCTGCATTAAAATGAGAGGCCAAATTATCTCCTAAAAGTAGTTGGGCCCATTTAAATACTGAACGTTTGGCAAGAAGCATGCTTTGAACCATTTTTCGAAGGTTTTCATATCAAACCAACCTGTTTTTGTACAACCATAGGCTGTTCCCTGTGGCCCTCCTGTCACTCAACCTTGATATACATTCAATGCTTTGTAAACTACCATAGGTGGTTGCATTACTCAAGAAGCAGAGCCACACCACATAATAGATATCGATGTTTTACTATGTTCTTGGATATTTTCAACACGTTGTCTTCCTCTTCGAACTAAAACAACTTTTTTTCCAGGATCATCTGAAAGATTTGTCTCGTCGAAATTAAATATATATTTTATTTCGACGAAATTATAAGATGGAACATCACCAAATAATTCATAAGTTTTTTCAAGTTCATCAAAGAAATCTGTTATAATTTCAACTCCTAACTTTGATTCTGAACGTTTAATATTAGAAGCATTTCGGCCAGTAATTTTATTTCGTTTCATAAAAGAATTTAACCAGTCATCTCCAGGTATCTTTAACTTGGAATTGTTTAACCCATTACGATTTTTGAGGAAATCGAAAGCCATCAATCTAACTTCTAGTCTTCCAATAGGAAAGCCCAAATCAGCAACTGCTTCTATCATTTGAGCAATGAGTACTTCATCTGCAATGCTTAGAATTGTAGGCCTTCCAACCTTCTTTAATTTAGTGTTTCTAATATGATCATATAATGTGGATTTTTGAACATTATGCTTATCTGCAGCCTTCCGAATACTCATGCCTTTACCATAATCTTTTAATGCTTTTCGAAGATTTTCTTTGGAGCTTGTTCCATACAACAATGTTTACATCCATACAACAATGTTAAGTTTTGCTTACGTTTGTAGGTTCTATGTATATATATATATATATATATATATATATATATATATATATATATATATATATATATATATATATATATATATATATATATATATATATATATATACCCAGTAAGCACAGATCGTTTTTAAAACGTTTAAAAAACGTTAATATTCGTTTTTTTAAGTTTTTTAAACGTTTTAAAAACGTCCTGTGCTTACTGGGTATATATATATATATATATATATATATATATATATATATATATATATATATATATATATATATATATATATATATATATATATATATATATATATATATATATACAGCCGTGTAAAATAAGTTTTTAAAATGATAAATTTCAAATTTCAAATATGTATTAAGTAGTTAGGCCACTATGAAAAGGGAAGATACCATTACTCCATCACTTGGCAATATTTTACTAGTCTTAGTAACAATACAGTACTCACAAAAGATAAGTTTTGCTTTAAAAATGGTAATTTTTTTCAAATGAATAAATATTTATTTAAGTATTTAAATACTTGAAACAAGTATTTATTCTGTTATAAAAATGCTTAACTGGGTTGAGCATTTTTATAACAAATCAGCCTGTGAATGTTATGAGTTATTTTTGCATACATATAATGAATCTTGTCGATTGTTTATTCCTATTTTGAATAATAAAAAAAAGAATAGTCAACCCTGGTTGGATGCAAAAGTTAAAAAAGCAATAAAGATTAAACATTCTATGTTTTATTCAAATTTGCATCGGCAAAGTCAAGAATCTCGAAAGGCTTTTAACAAAATGTGTGCTAATGTTAAAAAGCAAATCAAAAGATCAACTCGAGAATACGAAACGGATTTAGTAAAGAGAGCAAAGCTTGCACCAAAACTTTTATTCTCATACGTAAATAGAAAACAAAACATTAAAACGCAAATTAGAACAATCAAGAACAAAAAAGATCAAGTTACAACTGAGATATCAGATATATTAAATAGGCAATTTCAGTCAGTCTTTGTTATTGATAATGACCAACCAATACCCGAATTCTTGCAAAGATGCGAAAACTAGTGCGATTCCAGTAAGTTATCTAATATGATTACCTATGAAAAAGTTCTCAAAATGTTAGAAGGTATGGATGAGTCAAAAGCGATGGGTTTTGATGTAATTAGTCCGTTTGTTTTAAAGCATGCTGCAGAAGGTTTTGTGGACCCAATTGTTCATATTTTCAAATTAAGCTTTGACTTAATTTGAAAATATGACTGGTTTTGTTCCAAACAAATCATGCACAACAAATCTTATTGAGACAATTGACACAATTACATTTGAAACTGCAAAAGGTAAACCGTTATGCGTCGTATATCTTGACTTCGCAAAGGCTTTTGATAAAGTAGAACACAAAAGATTATTGACAAAGATTAAAGCGTATGGTATAACTGGTAAAATATATAACTGGATTGAAAGTTTTCTTGCAAATAGGAAACAAAGAGTTGCTATTAGTAATACAGTTTCAGAATGGGTATCAGTTACCAGTGGCGTGCCTCAGGGTTCCGTTTTGGGTCCAATGTTGTTTCTACTATTCATAAATGACCGCCCAGAAGTTGTGCTAAACACATTTAAAATGTATGCTGATGATAGCAAAATAATAGCCATAGAAGATTCCATTGATAAACAAGCGGAAATACAAACCGACCTTGACAACATTGTGAAATGGTGCAACAATTGGGGTAATGAACAAAACTGCAAAAAATGTAAGGTGATGAGATTCGGCAATCAGAAAATTTTTCGAGGTATTGATAAAACATACACAATGAATATAAATGAAATGATTTATGACCTCTCAAACAGTGTATTAGAAAGAGATCTAGGTGTCTTTGTACAACCGGATATGAGGTGGAAGCATCAAACGCAAGTATGTGTTAACAAAGCTTCAAAAATACTGGGGTTATTGAAAAATGCCTTTGAAAGTAGAGATTGTTATATGTGGAAAATTTTGTATACTACTTATGTGCGACTTCATCTTGAATTTGCGGCTCCAGCGTGGAGTCCTCCGAATGTGGCCGAAATCTCAATGCTTGAAAGAGTTCAACGTAGGGCCACAAAAATACCATACTCAAACCGAATGCTAAGTTATGAGAAACGGCTAGTTAAAATGGATTTAATTAATTTAAATCTCAGAAGAAAACGAGGAGACCTTATTCATTTATATAAGATATTAAACAATCTAGAATTTGTCAATCTTAATGTCAAACCAGTCTATAAGTCAAGCATTAAGTTAGATGGCCCATGTTCTTCCATTAGAGGTCTCAAATATAAAATTAGAATGCAGTGTTTTACTCCTCGCGAAATAAATGACTTTCATGCATCGGTTAGCTCCAGAATCCATTTCTTCACAATCAGAGTTTGCCAAATTTGGAACAAACTTCCGGAAAAAGTTGTAGATTCCGAGAATTTGAATAGTTTTAAAGCAAGTTTAGACGAATGGCTTAAGAAAAATAAGAAAATATTAATTTAAAAGAAAAAGAAAAAAAAAATTATTGGGCTGCTATAGCTGAACGTTACAACGTCTCAGCTTGTGGATAAGATCCATGCAGTTTACCACTAACTAACTAACTAACTATTCAATTGACATAAAAGTGTTAAAAATATAAAAATGTGTCTTCCATAGAAAAAGTGATTTTGTTCTTTTTTTTTTTTTTTTTTGAATAAAAGGTAATTACATTAGAAGGAAAAATCAAAGTTTTTCAAAACAATTCAAAAAAAAAAAGCTCCTCGAAATAAAATACTTGACTTTCCAAAATGAGTTTGAAAAAAAGTTCTATTGTTGAAATAAATTATTATTTCTTAAGTTGTATTTTTTACCTTTTATCTTTTAAGGTATATAGATTATGAAAAGAAATAGGTGGTACCTTTACTTTTGTATATAAAACAAAGCATGTTAAAAATATTCAGCTGATAAATGTTAAGAATTTTGAGTTCAAATAAAGGAGGCTTGGCATGAAAAAATCTATCTTTAAAATTGATTAGACGAGCAACATGCTTCTGCTGACAATAAAGTGGTAACAATATAGATTTATTTGTATTGCCCCAGGAATGCTAAATTTATATGGTAATAGATAAAAAAGAAATATACTTGTGCTAAAATGTGTTTATTTAAAGTATTTCTTGATTTATACATTACTCAAATACTTTTAGCAATTTTGTTGCACAAAAATTCTATGTGATGTTCCCAGGTAAGGTTTTCATCAAAATAGACACCTAAAAAGTTAGTTTATACTTTTCTTTTTATTTGGATTTTGTCTATAAAAAGAACAAGCATTTCATTAGGGAGTAATTTCTTTTTAGAATTTGGATGAAAAAATGTCTATTTTGTTGTCCAAATGTATAACAATGTTGCTATACATTTATGAGATAAGAAGCGATTATTATTATCAGCAAACATAACGGTCATTAAATTAGTGACTTTAGGGAGATCATTAATGTAAATAAGAAAAAGTATTTCGAGTAGCTCAAAACCGAATTTTGAAAGTTTGTTAAAATATGAAAATTTTCTCAAAATGGCTAGTTTCTAAGTTAAACGTGTTTGGACTTTTTTGATTGCATTTATTACTTCAGTGCAATGTTGTCACCAGACTAAAGAGTAATATTCTAAATAGGTCATGTTTAAGTTAAGGATTTAACAAAAATACGTGGATCACCACTTTTAATTTAAAAAAGAGTTCATAGTCACACCAAGGAATTTTAGACCAATTTAAATTATGAACTCATAATTTATAATTGAAATTTTTATGTTTAAAAAATGAAGCCGGAGCTATTCTAAATGTAAAACACTAACTGCCCATTTTTCAGACCAGATAAAAACTTTGTTGATGGCAACAGCTAGGTTGTGACTATGATTGTTTCCCTATCACCAATTGAAAAAAAATGTGACCATATTGGCTTTAACAGTTACAGTCGCTCCTAAATTTTTAAAATTTTTTGTATTTTAAGACTATGATTCCTAAACAACTGACAACTTTCAATTTTTTTTCCGGTAAAACTTTTAATTGGGATAAACAAATTAATAAAACACATAGGTACGACTATTAATAATAATAAAAGTATGACTTAAAACAAAATAAGCAAAATTAACCTAAATTCTTCTTTTTTTGTAGGTACTACTACGGCTTTGCTTTATTAATTTGATTTTTTAACTGTTGCCTGTAATTAATTAATTTGCATGTGTATATACATACATATATATATATATATATATATATATATATATATATATATATATATATATATATATATATATATATATATATACATATATATATATAAATATATATATATATATATATATATATATATATATATATATATATATATATATATATATATATATTCCCGTACTTTTACGGATTTATATATATATATATATATATATATATATATATATATATATATACTGACAAGCTCGAGTTTACGAGTGATTTTGAATTGCTCGATAAGATCTGCTCTTTTGCGGCGTTCTTCAAGAGTTGTTAAACCGAGCCGTTGGAGTCGATCTTCATAGGACAGGTGTTTAAATGTCGATATTGTTTTTGTTGCTTGTTGTTGGACTTGCTAGAGAATGGCAATATCTGATTTTAAATGCGGTGACCAGGCTTGTACAGCAAATCAAGAAGGGGGCTAATGTAAGTGAGATACAGAGTGCGCCATAAATAAAAACTGCGACTGCGAAATGTTTTTAGAGTCGCTTTAGCATTCTGTTTGCTACTGATGCGGCTGACTCTATTTGCGGTAAGATCATTCGAGACCATCACACCAAGGTCTCTTTCGACTGCGGTTTTTTCGAGAGGACGACGGGTGCCGTCGACGTTAGACATTGAGTATTTGTACGTCAACTTGTTACATCCGCGCCTAACATGCATTACTTTGCATTTCTCAACGTTGAAATGCAAGAGCCAAATGTGTGATCATTCCACTGCTCTGTCAACGTCATCTTAGAGAGTGATGCTGTCCGACTCCTTTTTAATTATCCTTATTATTTTGCTGTCGTCGGCAAACAGTTTCATATGATGAGTAATTCTGTCCGGCAGGTCATTTACAAAGATTACGAATAGCAATGGGCTATTCGTAATCTTTGTGAATGACCTGCTCGGTCTTTTTATAAATCTTTATAAAAATATCGAGCCTTGAGGCATTCCGCTAATGACTTCTTTCCATTCAGAAACTAATGCTGTTTATAACTACTCGTTGACATCGATTGTTTAGCCAAGCTGCAATCCAATCAACGAAAGCGCCTTAAATACCTTACGCTTTCAGCTTATGAAGGAGGCGTTTATGTGGTACTTTGTCGAACGCCATTGTAAAGTCTGTGTAAGTGACGTCTACTGCGTGTCTGCAGTGAGTTGCTTCCGTCATGATGTCCCGAGATTCTAAAAGGTTTGATACGCATCCTTTACGATAAACAAAGCCATGCTGGTTTGGAGAAATTAGACCATTAGCAACGGTCATTTTAAATTACATTCAATTTTTTCCACAAGTCAGGAACTACACCAGTTGCAAAGGAGCATTTATAGATAAGTGAAAGAGGCTTGGCAAAAGTAGCTGAACATTTACTGAGGACCCGTGGATGTAAGCCATCGTAGCCGGTTGATTTTCTTTCATCAAGGCTGTTTAGGGATTTTTGTACTTTGTCGATAGAGAAAATTTCTGGATCGATGATACAAACTGCTTCTGTACGACTTTCAAAGCCTTGCATTGAACCTTCGGGCTCTAAAACAAAGGCTGATTGAAAATAGTTATTTAACGATGCGCATATATCACCTGTATTGGTTGTGATGTTGCTATTGACTGTTTCAAGCGATGTAATGTTGTTACTGACGCTCTGCTTGCTTCTTATATATGCATGTAAGCGTTTAGGGTTGCTTTCGGAATCCCTGACGAGTAGCTCTTCGTACTTCTGTCTAGCAGCTTTGACCATTTTTTTTGACTTTTTTCAGGCAGTGTGATGCGATATTTTGAGAAATTTGTGCGTGTCTCGACCTGCATTAATGTACTTGGCCCAAGAGGTGTATTTAGCTTTGACCGCCTCAATATGTTCTGATGGTACCCATCACTCCTATTTTCCTGTAAAGGGAGTGGTAGTTGATGGAGTGTGTAGGTTAGTGGCTTCATTGTACACGTTTGCTAGAAGTTGATAATCTTCGTTTGCATTTAGTCCAGTGAATACTGTTTTCCAGTCAACAGCTGCAATATGTGCTGATATTGCTGCGTAGTTTGCTCGACTCCAAATGATTCGAGGTTTTAGCGGCAATGTTGGCGATTTGTTGAGGCATGCAATTGAGGGATGCAACAGTCAATTAGTAAAATAAGTAAACAGTAAATTAGTAAAATAAGTAAACAGTAAACAGTAAATAAGGTCAAGTGTACTAGTAAGCTAGACGTGTCGACTACTACGGTAGGTTGGGAATGTGATAAACTGAGTTAAGTGACATTCATCAAGACACTTCTGGCGACCTGATGTCGCCTTGACGCTCACCTCTCACGTGATATATATATATATATATATATATATATATATATATATATATAAAAAGAGTATATTTATATACTCTTTTTATATAAAATAAAAAGAGTATATTTCCAATCAGGGCCGGGGCCAGAGCAATAACAACTTTTGCCCACTAAAAAAAAAGTCCTCGTTTTTAAATTTTTTTAACTGCATTAACAACATTTACAAACTGACTGTCTAAATTTACCGACTTACTTGTCTAAGCATTTGCTGACTGACTGACAAAAAGGGTCAAACTTGCCGACTAAATGAATGAAAAAATCATTAATGGGTATATGGTCATTAATTGGTATATAGTCGAAAATCTCATTATCACTAAAAATAGGAATAGGCAATGATTTTAGTTTAATTTAGTTTAGTTTAATTAGTTCAATTAAGAAAATATATGTAAGCTTCCTTTAATTTGTTATCTGAAAATTTCTTAACATAAGCTACTTTATATTCCATGCTTCATTACAAAATCTTCCAGCTCACTTTTTCAATTAACCAACTATTGTGGTATAAAATTTTACTACAACAGAAGTCACATATTTTTTTTACTTATGTTTAACTATATTAAACTAATGATATATTTTTAGCCTAATATCTTTGATATTTATTGGAATTACACGTGATTATCGCTTTTTAAATTCTTTTCAAGCTTTGCATGGACGTTACCTGCAGTTTTATTAGTTGATAAAGCACCAAAGTTTACAGTGTTATCTGCTGAAAATCCAATAACATTATCTTGTGTATTGTAAAATTAATATCTTTTAAAATTATATCACCTATTGTTTCTGCAATTTCATTTGGATGGTTATGAACTTTTAAAATACAAGACTTTATTTTGAAAGCTGGTTGTTAAACCAGCTTTCAAAATAAAGTCTTGTATTTTAAAAGTGCATGTGATGCAAAGATTTACATTTATTTATTCTGACGTTTTTCACATGTAATCTTATAATTACAGGATTTTCTCAAAAATTTGATGCGCAGTCTATATCCCTGAAAGAATGGCCGTGTTTTACATTGTGGTATGACCATACAAGCTCAATGACTGTAAATTTTCATCATAAGCTGCTAAAAATTTAAAGAAAAAAAAAAGATTCTAGCTTTTATTTTATAAAAACTGATGAACATTTTTTATGTATTTACGATGCTGCGTATTAAACAATATTGCATAAGCCTTTATTGACTATAGAAACTGCTGTTACAAATTGTGCAAAAAAATATATGTCACTTTTTACTAACTTTTTGGCAAATGTATAAGTTTATAAACTTAACTTGTCTCATTGCATCCACAAGTTTAAATAGTTGACATGGTAAAAGAACTATCAACTTAGAAAATAAGTAT